CTCGTAGAGCGAATTCATCACTCTACGAGGCGCCCTTTCTGCGAGGCCCCACTGTAATTGATTAAAGTTTTTGCCTTCATCTACCTTGAACACAAGAGGCTAGAAGTGCAGTTCTTCCACTCGGTCCTGAAATTCCCCGAATTATGTAGGACAAAGCAGGTTAAACTGTAGCACTGCAATTAAAGGAGGGAGTTCTCGTCTGTCTGTACAAGCTGCCCTGCCTTGTGTCCGTTCCTTCCCTTTTGCTGTTCCCGACTGTCAGCTGGATTTGGCTTAAATCAAATTGATTTCAATAAAAAGATCAATTTTTTTGGCCAGTTAATTTAAAAAAATATTTTTAAAAAATTAAATCATAACTTAAATAAATTTCAATTTTTAAAAAAAGCATTGATTTTTATTCAACCTGCTTTCTGCTAGATCAGTGGTCCCCAACCTTGGGCATTTTTTGGCCATTTAATTTAAAAAAATATTTTTTTAAAAAAATTAAATCATAATTTAAATCAATTTCAGTTTTTTTTTAAAAAGCATTGATTTTTATTCAACCTGCTTTCTGCTAGATCAGTGGTCCCCAACCTTGGGCCTCCAGATGTTCTTGAACTTCAACTCCCAGAAATCCTGGCCAGCAGAGGTGGTGGTGAAGGCTTCTGGGAGTTGTAGTCCAAGAACATCTGGAGGCCCAAGATTGGGAATCACTGCGCTAGATGATGAAGGATGTCCTGTGGATTTGGAATTATCCCTGTTGTGTCCCTCAAAAGCCAGAATCAAAAAGTCCAGAACAAATTCTGTTCTTATTTGAAAAGAGCTTTTAGAATAAACACGCATACACGATAAAATTATGATCGGCTGAAAGATAAGTGATCAGAATCATGGTGTGTCACTTCTGTCTGTGACGTACATGGCTGCCTTCGCGCCTTCGTCCGCACCACCAACCCTGCGAAGTCCAAGGCTGAGTGACCGCCTGAGATTGCTAAGTTGAGTTTTATGGCTCAGTGGGAATAGACTGCGGACGTCCCAGTCCAGCGACACCACATGGGCTCACGTCATGTGACATAGATCTCGCGGCCCAGGGTTTCAAGGTCCTGATAGAGTGACTAGCTGTCAGTTAGTGATGGGACCCCCTTACTTAATGAAGAGGCAGGCAAGACGGCCAAAGGGGGGGTGGAGGTCTTCTCCCTTCCACTCTGTGATCTTGGCTGCCCCTTGGGTCTACCGGTTAGCTCAGATGCCCCCCTAGCTATCAGTTAGTGATGGGACCCCCTACTTAATGAAGAGGCAGGCAAGATGGCCAAAGGGGGGGGGGAGAGAGAGATCTTCTGCCTTCCACTCTGTGATCTTGGCTGCCCGTTGGGTCTACCGGTTAGCTCAGATGCCCCCCCCTTGCCTTAAGAGGGCCCTGCCCTTAGACTCAGGTGGCTGAACAGCCTGTTACGAAGCCTTAAAACCTCTGAGGTCCTGAGCCGCTCCGCCTGGAGGTTGGCTTCTTAGAAACGCAGTGGGAACAGTGACTTCCCTGTACCCTTTCCTTACCTTGTTCCAATAGCTTTTATCTCTTGTCTGGTGGCTAGCGGCGTCTCGGTCTCTAGTCGTCGTCATCTTAGAACTGCAGGGCTGGAAGGGTCCCTATAGATTACCGAGTCCAGCCCCTGCCAAGGAAGCACAGCAGGGGACTGGAACTCCCAACCTCGGGCTCCCCACCCAGAGATCTCAACCACGTGGGTGCAGTCCACACGTCATGAGGGGAGAGCGCTCGGCCCGCTCCCTTCTGCCGTTGCTTGCCACGGGCAAAAGCGATCGTCTGACAAAGGGCTATTTTGGTGGTCTTCCTCCCCGTGTAGCCGAAGCCACGTGGAGAAGCGGCCTGAATCCAGCCATTTCCCTCCCCCTCCCCGATGGAGAATGTCCCTTCCATGCCTTAAAAGTGACGGCCGGAGGATTGCACACACTCTCTGCTCACTGGCCTCAGCGAGGGGAGGAGGCAGCTTCTGACTGACTTGACATTCTCTTGTCCTCTTCTCTGCCCAAAGGCTTCCCCCCGATGCCGGTGCCCCCCTCCGGATTTGCGGGACTGACCGAAGAAGAGCTACGTGCCATGGAAGGCCACGAGCGGCAGCATTTGGAGGCCCGGCTCCAGTGCTTGCAGAACATCCACACCCTCCTCGACGCGGCCATGCTGCAGATCAACCAGTACCTCACCGTGCTGGCGACCCTCGGGTGAGTGAGCGCTTTTCTCTTGTGGCGTTGGCCGGGAGACGCAAAATAAGTTTTGAAACCAAAGTCTGGTTTTGCAACGGTGGCAAGCGCTTAAGTGTGCAACTGGAACGCTTTGCACTGGGAGGGGCACACTTTGGCCCCTCCTCTTTATTTATGCAGCACACACTTTTTAAAGTGGTGCCATTGGGGCTGGCAGAAAAACCTGGCGGTGTGACATCCTCCGGTCTTAGTGCCGGCTCAGGGTGCTCTTTTTACACGCCTCATCCTCATCGTTGGCTAACATTTGGGGGCCGGTGGATGCAGTCCCCCCCGGGGGCTGTTTTCAGAAGGAGGGATCCACCCCTGGGGCCTTTTAGAACCGGTTCTTCCAGGACCTCCCTGGTGATCCTGCCTGTTGCCCCTTTGGCTTCTTGAGCACCAGAACGTACAAAAAGGAATTCTGGACATGGATTGATTTTTATATTACAGTTGGGGCCCCGTATCTGCAGCAGATCGGTTCCAAGCCCCCTCTCCCGTGGATGCTGAAAAACACGGATTGTAGCGAACACTCTAATACTAGGGAACGCTATACATAGCATGGTCTTTAACACCCTTTAGTGGCAAGATCTGGCAACTTCATTGTTAGAAATATTTATCAGCTTTTTCTTTTAATATTTTTAAAATTTTCGACCGTGGATAAGTGAATCGGTGGATACTGATCCTGCTCATGGGGGGGGGGGTCATGCTGTATTTATTCAAGGTTTAGACTTGAATAAGTCTTGAATGTTCTGACTGTATAAACTTTCACTTTTTTAGTGTGGGCTTCCTAGCGTTGGGGTGTTTCGTTAAAATAAGGACTTATTAGTAAAAGGCGAAAGATTTATACGATCTGAAGAGAAACCAGAGTATTACTAGGGGAGCTTGACTGCAGTGAAGCCAGCAGCACCCGGTGAACAGCTCCGGGGAAAACTGGACCGTTCACTGATTCTGCTCATAAAGGGGGGGGGGTGTCATGCTGTATTTATTCAAGGCTTAAACTTGAATAAGTCTTGAATGTTCCGACTGTATAAACTTTCACTTTTCTCATGTGGGCTTCCTAGCGTTGGGGTGTTTCGTTAAAGACTTATTAGCATTTCATGCTTATGATATGGATTACTGAAATGGAAATAAAATAAGGACTTATTAGCATTTCACGCTTATGATATGGATTACTGAAATGGAAAACGAGTAAGGTGCCTACGCCCAGCCAGCCATGGCCTAATATGTTTGTGACGTCTATATCCTGCCATCCCAAGGTTGCGTATGTGGCAGCTCCCTTCCTCAGTGTCACATCGCTGTGAATTGAGTCGGGCAGGGAGAACCGTGGCTGGCTCTGGATCATGCCGTTGAGTTACCAGCGCTCAGTTGCAATTTGAGCGTGGGTCTCTTTTAAGTTGCAGCCCAGCACACGAATTGGCAGTTGTATCCTTCTCACTAGTCCCCCTCTGTCTCTCCCAGGACGCCGCGACCGGCACCGCCACCAAGTAGTGCTTCAGCCCCTTCGACATCTTCTCCAGAAACTCCCAGTCCTGGCCCTGAACCTACGTCCAGTGGCGAGCCTGGCCCCACGACCTTCCAGCCAGCTGACAGCACCTCTTCAGTAGTAGCCGCCGCCGCCGACACAGAGTCCTCTGGTGTAACAGGTATGCAAATAATAGGAAGCCCCATTTGTAGGGGAGCAGTGTGGTAGACTTCCTTTTTAAAATCCATTATCCATTTATAGCCTGCTCTTTCCATCCTTTGCTTTATAAGGTTGGAAGGAATTGTGTGGGGCGTTCGTTACTGCTGGGATTGGGGGTTAGGGGCAGGAGCAGACGGCAGAGTTGCGATGGAGAAAGCAGAGAGAGAGATCTCTCTGTGAGAAGGATCCTGGAACCTGTTGTAGATCAAAAGCTAAATATGAAGCCCAGCAGTGCAGTTTGGCTGCAAAAAAGGCAAACATGATTTTAGGCTACATTAACAGAAGTATACTCTTCAAATCCCATGAGGTACTAGTCCCTCTCTGTTCAGCACTGATTAGGCCTCCTCTTGAGTACTATGTCCGGTTCTGGACCACCACGTTATTAGAAAGGATGCCGACAAACTGGAGCAAGTTCAGAGGAGGACAACCAGGAGGATCAGGGGATTTGGAAGCCAAGGAGGAAAGACTGAAAGAACGGAGCATGTTCAGCTTTGAGAAATTAAGATTGAGAGGAGATTGGATAGCCCTTTCCAAATCCTTGAAAGGCAGGATCTTTTCTCCATCCTCCCAGAGTGGAGGACAGGTAAGCTGTCCTCGGGAAGAAGGGCAGCTCAAGCTACAGGAGGCCAAATTTCAGCTGAATTTCAGGAAAAAACCTCTTAATTGTTAGAGCAGTTTGACAAGGGAACCTATGACCTCTGGAGGTGGGTGAGCGTTCCAGTGCTTGGAGGCATTTAAGGGAATGTTGGATGTTGAAGTCAGACCGGTCTTGAGCAGGGGGTTGGGCTTGATGGCCCCTCAGCCCCTTCCAACTCAATGATTCTGTTAGAAAAACAATGGACAAAAGACAAATAATTTTGACCCTTCCGCGTTGGAGTAAGTTTGAGGCATAGGGACTAGAAACTTGATGCTAATGATCATTGCTTTGCATTATTTTGGTGTGTTCCCCCCCCCCTGCCTTTGGTGTCACTTCTTATTCCTGTTTATTTCAGATCCACGCCTGGTGGCAGGGGCTGAGGGCTACACGGAGTCCCCTGAATGCAAGCAGGATGGGGAGAACTCTTTGCTGGAGGAACCAGACACCGCAGAGCTGCGCCGGCGCCGGCTCCAGAAACTAGAACTGCCCTCCTCTTCTTCCCATTGATATCCCCACCCGCCTCGCCCGGTGCCTGAGTCCGTGGTCCCTGACGGGTTTTCTCTCCATGGGCGATGAAAAGGAAAAAAACAAGCGGCAGGCCGTGCAAGCAAAGCGGGGCCAGACGAACGAGGCCTGGATGTCTTAAACTTGTGCCATCGCGTGCCCTTGGAGGAAAGGCTAGGAGGAGGCCCCTTTCAGCAGGACGGGTGGGGTGCGGGAGGTGTCTAGAACTGACTCTGCCTTGATTTATACCGTGATGAAAAGGCGACTGTCCATCCAGCAGCAGGCGAGGCCAGGTCGTCCAGACTTTTCCCCCATCAGGACATGGCCCCTCTTCCTGGGTGACAACCTTTCCTATCTTGGTGTCAGCTGGATGGACTTCCACTCCGCAGTAGCAGCGGCCTCAGCAGGACAGACCGGCCTCTTTTCTCTTTCTCCCCCCCCCCAAATGCCATCTAAAGTCAGTTGAGAAATTACCCACATCATTAAGAGTGGTGGCCCGTGGTTTCTGCATATAATTGGTTTCCGTTGGCTTTAGTTCTTCCCCTTTTCTGATTTTTTTGGGGGAGGGGGCAGGTGCATGGGTTCTTCAGCTGCCCTTCCTAAGCATGGCAGCGGCATCAATACGGAGCTGACAGAATATATGGTTTCCCTCTCCTTTTTTTGTGGGTGTAAGAGATGGCCTCCTGATCCCTTTTACAGCAGGAACCAAAACCTGTTCAGAAGGCGTCGTAAACACAGCGAGCTTCATTTGGGTTTCCTTTTAAAACAAAACTCTTTAAAAAGTGGGATTCCGTGGGATGAACAAGGAAACTGTAGATGGAATACGTTGGTATGCGGTGTTGGCTTGATCTGATTCGAGGGGCCGGTGTGAGGTGGCTTCACCTCTGTTTTCTGGGTGGAATGAGATTTCGGTTGCCTTCAACGGCATCTGTGGGTCTTTGGCGTCCTGATCCCTGGGTTTCCAGCTCTGAGCCTCCACTGTGGCCAACAGAACGTATGTTTAGCGCAGAGAGAAAGAAGCACACCCATAACGTGGCCCACAGAAAGGGGTGAGACCCAAAGCAAAGGTCCTCTGGATTTGGACGACGAGTCCTATCAACCTGGTCAGGGATGATAGGGATGAGAACTGACTGGTGTTTTGAGTTGAGCCCCACCTGTTTAGGCCCATGCCTTCCACCACTCTTTCCAAGAGTATGCTTCGTGGGGCACCCTGTTTGTTCACTAGACCAATGGGTTCCTAACCTCGAGTCATCCAGGCGTTCTTAGACTACAAGACCCAGGAGCCTTCACCAACAGCTGCGCTGGCTGGGGTTTCTGGGAGTTGCAGTCCATGAACACCCAGGTGACCCAAGGGTGGGAACGCACCGTGCTCCAGCCTTGGCTGTCCTCTCCCTTGTGTGCGCTGTCCAGAAATCTGTCATAACTTACCATTAAGATACTTCCTAATTCTGATTATTTTCTCTTTTCTATTCTTCCTTTCTCTCTTTTTTTTTTCTTTCTCTCTTTCGGCATATATATGTATTTATTTAGCTTCTGACTCCATCTGTTTATTCAGGAAAACTGGCCCTGTTTTTGCAACTCCGGGCTAGGGGTTAGGGTCTCTCTCTCTCTTTTTGGTGTATTGTTTAAAACAAGTTAGCAAGCTGTGAAATGCAGTATTAATCTTGGCTGTCCAGCCCGAATAGAGAGTCAGAAACCGAGACAGACTGGATGCGATGGGAAGAAAAGGATGCGGCAGGGATGATTTGAAGTATCGATTTCAATAAAAGATTTTGGTCAAGGTTTCCCCCCTCTTTCTTGGTTTCAAAAGACCTCTCTCTCTTCTCCCACGGTCTTATGATAAAATTAAGAGAGAGAAGTGTACCGTTTGCTAGGCAGGGAGCTGGCCCCTGGAGCTGGTGTCAGTCTGATTGTGGGGGATTGTTATACCGAGGAGTCTGCTGGAGGAATATCGGAGAGGGCGATTTGGTGGCGAGTGCATTCCTCCCCTCCCACCTAGTCATGCAAACGTCACTCTTAGGAAGAGAGGCCGGAGATCCGTGCCTGGTAAGTGAATAGGCCACGTGTGTAGGGAATTCTGTGGTTACGTGTCGGGGTGGTGATGAACTGGTTTTGGCAAGACAGAAGAGAGGCATGAAGCAGAGGTGATATACGCCGAGCTCCCCCCCCCCGGTGTTGCTGGACAGGAGGTGCCAGTGAGTCGGGAGGTATAACTAGCGGGCCTTAGAAAACCAGCAACATCTGAAAGACCCCCCCTAGGGTCTAGGAAGCAGTGCTCCCCCCCATCACATATCAACAGACGACAAAACATCAGCAGACATCCAGTAATTTTTGTTGTAATGCTAGTCTTTTATGCACAGATAGGAAACAGATGATGGGAGCCTAAGGACGCAGCAGGTGGAAACGGCATCCGGTCGCGTTCCCCCAAGCTTGGTCCTCGTGCTGTTCTCAAAGGATTCCCATCTTCTGCTGGTGGCGCTGCGGCTTTCCTTGGCCCCCCCTCGGGTCCTTCTTCAAGGCGTTTCCTGGGCTGTGTCCCTTGGTCCTTGAGAGAACAAGCTTGAAACCACGTTGTCGGGACTCTTCAGAGCCAGAATGCGACCTAGAAGGGGAAGGGAAGAAAGCGTGGTAGGCTGCCAGGCTTTGTCGGGGGGGGGGCACCGTCTGGGGACCCGCCCGGAGGTCCGACATCACTGCGTTTCATTTCACTTAGAAGCTGGGTACATAACTTTGATCTTACACAAATAAATAACATTATTGGTAGCTAAGTAACATTGTTGGTATCTTTTTTCTGTTAAAAAAAAGCTTAGAGGAAACACGTTGGATGGAGCAGAAAGAAAACAGACCTGAGGAAGAAGGGAAATACAGATGGAAATTGGAGAGCGGGCTTTCTTTTAGGTGTTAAGATGACCAGGGTTTGCTAGGTTTAATTCCCTTTCCTGCTTCTGGACCCTTCCTGTGTGTTTGGGGGGGAACCCTTTGGCATTCTAGGTATTTGGGGGCTATAGTTTGCATCTTCTCTCGTGTCCAGTCCTATCTAGTGGTTGGGAGTGGCAGAGGAAAATCCAGCGTTTTTCCGCTTTCTCGGGTGGAATGGGCTGAGTCTATATGCAGAGGATTGGATGTTTGCTGCCAGTTTTCTTCCCTTGTTTAAAACAAATAAATAAATCTCTGTGAACCGTTGGCATCCAGTTAAGTAGCGAGATTTCTTCACTCCTGCACAAGCCATGCACATGGCCGGCCTCTCTCGCACCCGTGCGTCTTCATTGCTTTTGCAAAGCGTTATCCCCTTTTGATGTTCAGAGATTTTATAGCAGAAGGAAACGAGGAGTAAAGCCCCCTCCCAGCCTAGACGTCTCCGTTTCCCAACCCGATTCCAATCTTCATGTGAAAGAGATAAACTGTGTTTTATAAACACGCTCGCTTGCACATAAAGAACTGTTTCTAAGGCCACCGCGGCCGTTTGTAACCTCTTTAGGATGAAATAAATGCCATTTTTAAAGAGAAACTTGGCAGTAGAGGGGAATGGAATGATTAAGGGGAAGAATCTGTAACCCTTGCTTTGATTTTGTTTGTTAAATCATAAGTATTTGGGTCACGATCTGTTGAAGGCCACAAGAGTTGTAATTGTCAACTTTAGATCTGGCTCCTCGGCAGATTTGATATTGAGAACGGAAGCGACACAGCTAAACAAATGTTTATGGCTTCTAATTTCCTGTTCAGCCACATGTTACACATGGAGGTTTAGGGTAATTATTTAATTCTTTGTAAATATTATATAATTTTTACTAGCTTGAATTGTGTATATATGGCAAATAAAAACTTGCATTAAAGATTGTGTTGTGTTTTAAAAAAACAACAACAAACCATCTGCAATTGTTATGGTTTGCATTTAGATGGTGTTCCCTTAACACGAGACCTCAACTGCCTTCCAAAGTCAAATCATAAATGTCTCCAGGAGTTCACTTAGTTTAAAACAACGCTCCAACGTTGATCTTTTGTGCATATATACACTAGGACCCCTTATCCACGGAATCAGTATCTGCTGATCCACCTAGCTGAAAATATTAAAAGAAAAATGCCCAATATATATTGAACGATGAAGTTGCTAGAACATGCCAATAAAGGAAGCCAGACACTATGCTATGTAGTATAGCATTCACTATTATAATATTGTTTTCTATAATCTGTGTTCTTCAGCATTCCATTCCAAGGGGAACTTGGAACCAATCCCCAGCGTACCACAGGATTGTGCTCACAGGATCTCCCTCCAAGCCCACTTTATCCAACAAAGCTGTGAGGTTCAAAGAAAGTTGTCTGCTACCCAGCTGAATGGGGTTTGGTACCCATGTCTCCCTAGACCTGGTTGGATGCTAACCTCTGTACTGTAGGGACTACCCTTATGCTGTTTACTTCTTGCTCCATTTATGCTGGAACAAACCAGATCCTTTTGGAAAGGGATTTTTTTAAAAAAACAGTATAGCAGGAAAAGAAGAACAGTAAGTTGGGCGGTTATGGGTCCTGGAGCTGTGGCCGTATTGCAAACCCCACCACCGCAGCCCTTGTCAGCATACGTCGGGTGGGGAATGATGAAAGGTGCAGTTCAACCACATCTGGAGGATCACAGGTTGAGCATCCCTGCACTAGAGGCTCCTGCAGCCCTTCCGGCAGAGCGGCAAAGCCAACACCTTCATCTCAAACCGTACACAAACAAAGCTGGGTTGCAACATTCTGGTTCAAAAGCCATTCTTTCTGTGAACTAAAAGGGGGGGGGAATGAGTTAATCACTAGTATTCAAAACAGGAGAAAGTTCTTTAGGTGCAACTAGGACCCCCTGTCTGTGGGATCAGTATCTGATTCACTTATCCACGGATTCATTTATCCGCGGATTCATTTATCCACGCCCTGAAAATACAAGGTAAAAAAATCCAGAAGTGGCCAATAGATGGCGACAGAGACCATGCAATGTATGTATAGCATTTGATACTTCCATGTTTTTCGGCATGGAACCACTCTCCCTCGGATACAGCGGTTCTACTGTATTCTTTATTTTAGTTATATGTTGCCTTTATTCTCATGGGGGGCACCAAGACTATTTGGTCAGTTAAAACCGCACAATAAACGCAATTTAAAATGTTGTGAGATGCAACATTAAAAAAAAGCTAAAATAATTCAAAAAACAACACAATACTTAAATGTTTCAAGAATAATTTTTTAATCTGAGTACAATAGATGCAGCATTCTTCACTTATCCCTTTAAAACCTGTCTGAAAAAGAAAGGTCTTTGTTCAATGATGCAAAGATAGTGTAGGTCCTAAGCGGCTGTCAGTGCCCTACGCAAAAGAAAGACAGTTGCTTTCGCACATCAACCCACTTCTGACTTAATGGTGAGCCTATGAACGGAGGACATTCAACAGGTCCTGTCCTTAACAGCCTTGTTGAGGTCTTGCAGACTAAGGGCCAGTGGCTTCCTTCATCAAGTCGACCCATCTCACAGCTCATCTTCCTCGTCTCCTGGTGCCTTCCGTTTTCCCCATCACCCTTGCGTTTCCCAGCAAATCTTCTCGTGATGCATCCAAAACAGGAAAGCCTCGGTTTATTCCTTTCAGTTTATCGGGAGGGTTCCGGCTTGATTTGATCTTCAACCCACTTGGATGTGTTCCTGACAGTCCACACTCTCTGTGAAGTTTTTGTCTAACATCCTGTGTTGAATAAACTGATTCCCACCTCCCCTTCCAGTTAGCTTTCTTCACTGGCTAGGTTTCCTATCTGCATAATCTAGACCAGTGATGGCGAACCTATGGCACGCGTGCCACAGCTGGCACACACAGCCCTCCCTGTGGGCATGTGAGTCATACGTTGCCATCGATAAATACTTACCTGTCCTCTGATCCTGGATTTCGGCACTCCCCTCTGCTGGTGCACAGGGAAGTGGTGGCGCTTCGGGTTAAACCACAGAAGCCTCTGTACTGCAAGGTCAGAAGACCTGCTGTCGTGAGATCGAATCCAGGCAACGGAAGGAGCTCCCATTGCTTGTCCCAGCTCCTGCCAACCTAGCAGTTCGAAAGCATGTAAAAAATGTGAGTAGATAAATAGGGACCACCTCGGTGGGAAGGTAACAGCATTCCATGTCTAGTCACGCCAGCCACATGAACATGTTTTGTTTTGTTTTGTTGTTGTTTTGTTGTTGTTGTTGTTGTTAATGTTAATGTTAATGTTAATGCTATTAATATTAATATTAATATTTTGTTGTTGTAAGAGTGGCAAGATTGATATTTGCAAGGAATTGGAAGAATAATAATCAAATCGAGATGGAGGCATGGTTTAAAGAAATGTGGAATGTGGGCATTCATGATAAGCTAACGCCTAGAATTAAGATTAGAAAATGGTTTGCTGGTGACAAATGCTTTTAAAGTTTTGGAAGAAGCAAAAAGCTTAGTCTGTGCAAGCATTATCAGGCAAGTAGGTTTTAATAGGTGTGTCTGAGAAAAAGAAAGGTTATGTCTCATTAGGATTTCATTTTATTTCAGGAGAGAAATGGGGCAGTTACAAAAGATAAATAAACCTAGAAGCGTTTTATACAAAAGACCAAGGAGGACACATCAGCAAACTTAGCCCCCAGGGTTGGTAAGGAAGGACGGAGTGGGACACGTGTATTGAGTGCCTGCTTGTTTTGTTTGCTTGCTGAGCGAGTGGCCTTTTCTTTTTGAGGTCCTGGTTTTCCTTGTTTTATTACTGTCCTCTTTTTTTAAAAAAAAACTTTCCTTTTTGTATAGAAAAGGCGGCCGGGCGGAGGGAAGAGAACCATCGGCTGTTCGGACTTTGCTCGTGTGAAAGCGAAACTCGCGGGGCGAAGTCCTCGCCTTTCGGACGCGCCCCGGGAGGGGAGAGCTGGGCTGAATAGGCTCGATCCAGGTCGGTGGGACTCCCACCCCCCCCCAATCATCCTTCAAGGGGTTCTGGGTGCGAGATTCAGCTGGCCTTCCTCCTCCTCCTCTTCCTCTTCTGCTCCAGCCATTGGACACAGCGGAGCCACGCTCTTCCGTGTCGGGCTCCCTCGGTCGTGGGAACGCTCATCCCCAGGTTGGCGTGTTCTCCGCTCCAGATGCTCCTTTTGCCATTTTTGTTGCGCAAAATGGGGAGGGCCAGCACCGTGGACAGAGCGAGGCTTCCCTGGGGGAAAGGAGGAGGAGGAGAAATCCACCCAGGTTCTTCTTCGTGGACTCTGTGAAATCACACTAATGGGTTAATCTGCGCTTGCGCAGAAGGTCTCGGAACATTCTAGAGCTTAAAGTAACACTTTTGGCTCCGCCCCCCCAGGACCTCATGGTCCGCCCGCCCTAACAGCCATTCAGTTCCATTTTTTCCGCTGCTGCAGTTAGGTCTCCTAGCTAGAGCTCCGTGAAAGATTGGAAAGATCTGAAGATTCCTGAGTTTTGGACTCCGCATTCTTGCTTCAAGGGAAGTACTTACTTCATTTTATTATTAGGGGAGTTTTTGGACTGTTTTTGAGGGCTCCCCTCGCTCCCCTACCCCTTTTTTCCCCCCTTATTTCTTGGACTGTTTTCCCGCCTTTTTCTCTTTTATGGCCTCCAAGGCACCATCTTCACCTAAAGTTACTTTTAAAAGCTGTGCCGCCTGTTCTAAAAAGATCCCTTCCACAGACGGCCATCGTTACTGTTTATTTTGTCTTGGGGAGTCCCATATCCCCCAGACTTGTCGCCATTGTGAACGTTTTACCCGGCAAGGCTTAAGGCTTCGAGAGCAACGTCTCAGGGCAGCGCTCTGGGAGAAATCCCGCTTGCCACTTTTTAATGTTTTTTTAAAAGAAATATGTGCACCCTCTACTTCTTGGTTG